GGGCGGAGCCGCAAGAAGATAGTTCTAGTAAAGAGTTAGAAAGAGGCGGAGACAGCGGCAGACGGGGGGGGACATCGAGAGGGACAGCGAGAAGCGGAAGACGCGAGCCGAGAGAGGGGATATGTAAGGTCGGTCGGGGGATCTAACATGACGACCACGAACAACACGAGTAAGAGAATTACAGACAACTAACGTCAACGTTTACAATTTGAAAGATTGCATAAAAAAAACAATTCCAGGGGAAAATTTTTTGTGTTTGTATGTTATTAATCTTAGAGTGAGACTACGCTTCTGCCAAAATGTTTATTTGTCATCATTGCACTGAAATCGCATAATACTGTCTTATGACGGAACTTTGTCACTGCGTCTGCTACATTATCCTGTACATAGTCATTCCAGCCCGGCTAAAATATTCTGCAAACAAAGTTAAGTGTCGTCTGTAGCCATGATCTGCGTGCATTGCAGTACGACGGACTACATTGGCTGGGACGCTAATGGTCCACCTTGCTGGATGGAAAAAACAATCCCTCCGAAGCCGAATGAGAGCCTGCTTTAGTCTTTTAGACGCGCGGCCCAGCTGCATACAGCTCCGACCCGCGGGACACGGACGCGAAAGACGACCGACGATCGAGACGCGATAGCCGACCGAGACCGAGCCGACCGCGACAGACGACCGTTCGATTCAATTTCACTCGTAAGCACGCTGGACGAACACGCCGGTGCAGGACAAACAGCGCGGGGGGCGGGATCCCGGAGAAGAGTATAGCGACTGATCCGGAGCGGCTGCGCGAGTACATCTCAATATTAGACAGGGCCGTTTATATCATTTACGCTCTTCTGTAGAATTGTATGAATGTAACGACACTCGCAGTTTTCAATTCGCCACGTCGCCTTGAGTATCAGGAAAATACTGGTGGTTCTTTTGGCAGTTCGGTTGTTATTTCCCTCTCGCTTTTTGTCGCTTTCTTTGTGTCTCCTTCTCTCACTCTCTTGTTATCTGCGTAGTCTATACTGTTCCTTTCGATGTATACACACAGTGCTACCGTGGATCCCTCAGTCGGCGCTGGCGTGCTCTAAGGATGCACATCGGAACCATCACAGTGTCGACTGCTGATCACGTAATTATTTATATAACCTATTATCATCGGTAGTTGCTTGTCTTTCTCGTGTCAATCAAATGTGTTTACGCAGCATCGCGAGCGTAATCATGCATGAGCAGGATATATAAGTGTTATCGCCTCAGATGGCATTAAGCATTAGGATTTGTGTTTTTCGGTCGAGGTAGCCAACCACAGTCAGCGCTACGGATTCGCTCGTTAGCGGATGTTGTATTACTATGCGGTGAAATATATCTTCATTTCTGTTCTCGGTATGGCTTCATCCTACGATTCGTCGAAGCAAAAGGAAGCACATTACACTACACGCATTCGCACAGGCTAGGCTTACTTTGAAGACGATGCACGTCACGCGACATAGTTCGCGTGTTGATTTAGGCAATGTAATCTAGTATTAGTCACCGATATCGTAATTTTGATTCTGCACTCGTTATCCGTTCGGATTGTTACTTGCCTTGCCGATCGATCGGATTTAACGTCTTGCCGACTTAATTCCAGCAATGAATCGTAACTTGACCACTTTTCAAACGGTTCGATCACGATAGGATGTACATATCAAAAGAAGTAAACAGATCGAAGATCGCTTTAAGAGACGTCAACGAGGCGTACCTCTCCTATACGTTTGGCTGTACGCACTTCGTCTTCGCGGAAGAGCCGCCAGGCGTCAGTGTTTAAATGATGGATTGGTATACACCACTTAACACGAGTAATGAACCAGCAGCGATGTCACGAAACTATTGTCGCGCGTAAACCCCGACTTGCGGCGGCTTTGTCTCGTGCGAGAGCGGGTGGTAACACGACCTCACAACCCCCTCCGAAATTGAGACACGAGCCCGACTCACATCGGCCACCGGAAAAAAGTCGGTAGGTCCAGCAGCTCACTCGCGCGTAGGTGTCGCGGACCCCCGCGCGTAGGATGTGGCCACTTCAAAGCGAAACGCTCCTGCTCGCGACGATGTCACTTGAACTCGCGCACAGCATTAGTGAACGCTGCCGACAGCAGTAGCAGTAGCGCGGGTAGAAGGTGAGGCGGAGTAGACGGCTGCCTCTTGGCTGCTCCGTCGCGCAGCAGTGATCGCGTGTCGCTTACATCTGTGACTGCATGGGCGACACACACACGATCATATATCATATAGCAGCGCGGCGGCGCGCGAGACAGCTAACAGCACGCGTGCGGGAACAGGGCGCGTCAGCAATCCACACCACCACCGACGTACACGTATACATAAGAGACAGTCATACTGGAGTCGAGTGTGATAGGGAAGCTGTCGCGTGTTGTTCGCGCGTCGGTTTTAGTTTGGATGCCTGTGCCTGTCACTGTCACTATCTCGCTCACATACTCTGTCTACGGCATCTAGTGTTTGCTGCACATGAGTATTTGGACGGCATTTACAGAAAATTGTCGGCAATAATAGGTGAAAGAGAGTATAGAAACATTAAGACTTTGGTAGTAAATAGATTTCGTATTTATTTAGCATTATATTTTATTGAAACGCTCGAAGTGCCTGTGCACATGTTGTGCGGGTTCGAGTCGTGTGCTACTATGGAATTGCAGACATATGCGAAGGTTGGCCGCGGACCGCCTCAGACGGCGGAACGCAGAACCACTGAACTACCCGTCTCCCCCCCCCCTTCCTCCACCGCCACCCACGTGGATTTCACGAGCTTAATTACCACTTCATTCAAACGAGCTGTAAAGTTACCAGTGAATAATATTGGACATACGGCGGTGGTACATAGAACGATTAATGGCGAGTAGTACAATGGTGGCAGCAAGCAACGCTTGCAAACTGTCAGCACGCACACAGCATCTCGACGAGTTGCTACACATGTGCGTCTCTCAACTATAAGCGCAGAAGAACTAAATTACGCCTTAAGCCAGGCGCCTAATATTCGCAGAGTGCCGCGCTCGTTCCCGGCGACTAATTGAGTCCGGGAACCCATAACGTTTTTATTTCGTCGGACGATCCCTCTCCTCTCTAAAAATTACAGCACTTCCCCGACACACTATATCCCAAATGGCCTAGCGGAAACCTGATTGGGTGACGGCGATTCGTATGTTATGATTACAAAAAAATCGCTTTTGCTGGACCCAGGTTTGAAGTAAGTGACTGCATGAGAGCTACGGCACGAGGTATATGTATGAATATATGGGTAATTTTCTCAATGAGGGCACCTTTTTGATTTTTTTATGTCCAGGCCTCGCATTTTTTTATTAATGAATTCCAGTAAGCATTATATCCATTAAAATGTAGATTGGGGATATTTCCACTTGGAAATAAACTTTCAGCACTTTA